TTCCCTTACCTGACTTTCCCCAAACCAGAAATAAACCACACCTTACATGGCCCCCAACCTGTGTTCTGGCAGACCCCATCCTCCCCTGCTTCAAGCTGGAGCTGGGGACCAGAAGGGGCTGAGTACCTCCTCTGGTTGCTAAGTGGAGCATATCAGCAGCCTTGCCCCAGAGAAGCCCTGTTGGAAGCCCTGTGGGAATCCCCCAAGGTAGGGGAGTGGACACCCGTAAGGAAAGGGAAGAGTGCCAGCTCCACATGTGGGCTTCTCTCCTACCCCATCAGTCACCAGCAGCAGGTTCAGCTGCCTCTGGGCGGCCCTAGCCCATAGAGACAAGGAGACCTCCCTCTGTGAATAGACAAGGAGACCCCCCTTCTGTGAATAGTCCCTTATCACCCCTGCTTAAGCTCCAGGGGCTCCTCCATCCCTTTGTCTTCATACTGCCTATGAAAGTTGTCCTTGTATGTGTGGATATCTGAATGTGTCAGTGAAGAGCTATACAAATGTGTACATGTGGATATATGCTCAAGAATGTGTGTAATTCCAAATGTGGGGAAAGTATATAGACACACATATGTATTTGTGGTATATATGTGCAATGGATATATATGTGTTTACAGTTGAGTGTACAGAATTATATTTATATTAACTGTGCATGTATGTGATTGGATATGTACAGTGGCATGCACATGTATCTGTTTGTGTTTTGTGTACATGGGTATTTGTGGACAGATAATTTATTACTTATTGTGTATCAGGTACTTTCCATCTTCAAAATGGATTCATCCATTTAATCATCACAACTTTATGAGGAAAGTATGATTCTTTCCCCATTTTAAAACAAGGAAACTCACAAGAGAAGTTAAGTAACTTCCCAAGGTCACATAGAGATTAAGTGGTGGAGCCGTGAGACCCAGCCAGTGTGCAGAGTCTGAGCTGTTATCCCCACCATACTGCCTCTCAGATGCGTTTAATGCTATGTGTCTAGGTTTATGTTTTTATACATGGAACTGTGTGCATAGATAGCTATGCACAGATACTATCTGGCAATGTATGTGTATCTGTTATTACATGGATGTCTGTGTGGATGGCTGTGTGTGTGTGTGTGTGTGTATCCACAGTATGTTTCTGACTGCTTGTATATACATAGCTGTGTGTGTGTGTGTGTGTGTGTGTGTGTGTGTTTCCTGTCACGGTCTTCTCATTCTCCTGCCAAATCCTGCTCCTACCCCCCACCCAGACATCAACTAGCAGCGCTCTGGGCCCTTACTGCAGTGAAGTAGACCCTCCCCACCCTGTCTCTGGGGTATCCCAATCCTTTTAGCCAGGTGATCCACTCAGCCTGCCCCGCCCATGCTGCAACCTCAGCCCCTTTCACCAGGCACAGCCAGCTATCCCTCTGCCTAGAGGAAAGACTAAAGGAATTGGGAGACTCAGCCTAAGACAGGTGACAGGTGGACACACTTTGCATTCTCTCTTGGATGGCACTGGCAGTGAGAAGCAACGAAGGGTAATGGTAGGGAGTCACCTGATGAAGGGATGGGTCAGGATGGGGTCTGTGTCTGGCTGTGGTGCCCAGGCTGGCCTGGGCTCTGCACCCTGTAGCTCATGCAGCTCCTTCCTACCCAAGGTCAACTCTTAGTGATGCTCATTGCTGTACTACAGCCTCCCAGACCTCTGATGGGGTGTGTGTGTGTGTATGTGTCTGTTTGTCTGTCTGTCCGCTCCACTGATGCTGTGCATGGCCTCTATGCATGAAAATGCATTCTATGGGCTCTGGGTGTTGCTGGGGCGTCGGGGGATGTGGCACTGCATTCACTGTGCATATCAAACATCTGCTTCATGTACATTGCATTTGTTTTAAACGTTGAGTGTACACTGGATATGTGGTATGAATATGTTTGTATATTCATGGCTGTTGTCTGCATGCAATTTGTATGCACCCTCTATCCTTCATTTATGCTGCATGTGCCCTGCATGTGGGTTATTGTATATGTGTATCATGAGTGCTGCATTCCTGTTGAATGTCTATTGTGTACTGCACATATCTTGGGTACTACGTGAACATTGTATGCACTTGGCATTTTTCCATTCATTCCACAACATTGCTTTCTACCTGTATTTTACATGCATATTTCATGTGTTTATGTGCATGCTATATGTTGCATGTGGCATCCATGCCCATGTACCACATATGTTATGTGTAAACTGTGTGGTGTGTGTGTGTGGTGTGTATGTTTTGGTGTTCTGGCTTCAGACAGCTCTGCACAGGCCTCGCGCGTGCAAGTGGCCATCCAGACCCTGGATGAGAATGACAATGCTCCCCAGCTGGCTGAGCCCTACGATACCTTTGTGTGTGACTCTGCAGCTCCTGGCCAGGTGAGCAACTGAGGCAGAAAGGTTGGGACGTCAAGGCCTCCAGCAGCCCACTCCATACAAGGCCTCTCTTCTTCCTCCCAGCTGATTCAGGTCATCCGGGCCCTGGACAGAGATGAAGCTGGCAACAGTAGCCATGTCTCCTTTCAAGGTCCTCTGGGCCCAGATGCCAACTTTACTGTCCGAGACAACCAAGGTGGGTGGCCTCCTACAACCATGTGCATACCTGCCTCCATCCTCTCCTCCTCCATCCCTAGCCCAGCCTGCCTGACCCCTGCCCCACCTGCCTGGGCCTTCCACCCAACAGAAGGGGGCATGTGGATTTACACTCACTCATTGGCTCTTTGTAAACTTTCCCCATGGGAAGCTGGCTCTATGGGCTGGACCAACCCTACCTGGAAGGTGTCCCAGAAGATGCCTCAGCACCTTCCCTCTCCCACAGATGGCTCTGCCAACCTGCTGCTGCCCTCCCGCCCTGCTCCACCCCGCCAGGCCCCCTACTTGGTTCCCATAGAACTGTGGGACTGGGGCCAGCCAGCACTACGCAGTACTGCCACAGTGACTGTTAGCGTGTGCCGCTGCCAGCCTGACGGCTCTGTGGCATCCTGCTGGCCTGAGGCTCACCTCTCAGCTGCTGGGCTCAGCACTGGCGCCCTGCTTGCCATCGTCACCTGTGTGGGTGCCCTGCTTGGTGAGTCAGGCCACAGTGGGTCATAGATGTGGGATTGGGCCTGCAGGGGTGTGGAGAAGGACCAGGCCTCTGGACATACTGAAATCCACCTTAGGGCTTGAAGGACCCTCATGCCTGGACGTTCCCACTGCCTGATGCATCCAAGAGAAAAGCTCTGGCCCCTATCCATGACCTGCCAATCCATAATGACAATGACAAGCCATAATAATGGTTTACTGAGCCCCCTACTCTGTGCCAAGTATGGTGCTGGGCACATCACTTGTGATATTTCATTTTATCGTGTCAGCAACCCTTAGAGGTAAATATATTTTCCACACAAGTACTCTAAGGGGCAAATTGAGGCTTAGGAGAAGTCAGGCAACTTCCCATGGTCACACAGCGAGTAAGGGCTGAAGTCAGAATTCAAAGCAAGGTTTGCTAGATGTCAGCCCCTAGGCACACGGCTTTTGTCACCTGATGGGTCGGCTGTTCACATAGAGACAGGCTGCCTGCTCCCAGCCCTGCGGGCTCAGGGCCCGTGTGCTCTCTCACGCGCAGCCCTGGTGGTGCTCTTCGTGGCCCTGCGGCGGCAGAAGCAGGAAGCACTGATGGTACTGGAGGAGGAGGACGTCCGAGAGAACATCATCACCTACGACGACGAGGGCGGCGGCGAGGAGGACACCGAGGCCTTCGACATCACGGCCCTGCAGAACCCGGACGGGGCAGCCCCACCGGCACCCGGCCCTCCCGCGCGCCGAGACGTGCTGCCCCGGAGCCGGGTGCCGCGCCAGCCCAGGCCCCCCGGCCCCGCCGACGTGGCGCAGCTCCTGGCGCTGCGGCTCCGCGAGGCAGACGAGGACCCCAGCGTACCTCCATACGACTCGGTGCAGGTGTATGGCTACGAAGGCCGGGGCTCCTCCTGCGGCTCCCTCAGCTCCCTGGGCTCCGGCAGCGAAGCAGGAGGCATCCCCGGCCCCGCAGAGCCGCTGGACGACTGGGGTCCGCTCTTCCGCACCCTGGCCGAGCTGTATGGGGCCAAGGAGCCCCCGGCCCCCTGAGCGCCCGCGCTGGCCCGGCCCACCGTGCGGGGGCAGCCGGCACAGGCCCTCTGAGTGAGCCCCACGGGGTCCAGGCGGGCGGCAGCAGCCCAGGGGCCCCAGGCCTCCTCCCTGTCCCTGCGTCCCTCCTTGCTTCCCCGGAGCGCCCTTGCTCTCTACCTCCCTCCTCCTGAGTCGGTCCATGTGTCTCTCTCCAGGGATTTTTGTCTCCAGCTCCTCTGTCCGGGCCTGGGTTTCGTGGCCCTAACCCTGGCCCTGTGTTTTTCACTGTGATTCCTTTCCTTCCTCCGTGGCTGTTTCATCTCTGCAGTTCTGAAGCTCGCACATGGTCTCCCTGTGTCTCCCTTGCCCACACACATCTCTGTGTCTGTCTCCTGCCCACATCTCCCTTCCCTCTGGGTCCCTGTGACTGGCTTTTTGTTTTTTTTCTGTTGTCCATCCCAAAATCAAAAGAAACTTCCAGCCACTGCTGCCCACCCTCCTGCAGGGGATGCTGTGCCCCAGGTCAGTGCCTCTAGACTGTAGGTCAAGGCAGTGGACAAAGGCCCCCACTCCCCACTGCCTCTAACCTGGCTCCCCTGTTCTTACAGACCTGCCCGCATGGTTCCATCCATCGCTCATGGCCTCAGCCTCATCCTGGCTCCACTGGCCTCCAGCTGGGAGAGGGAGCCAGCCCGCCCCCCAGGGCAAGAGCTCCAGCCTCCCGTGTGGCCGCCTCCCTGGAGCTCTGCCCAGCTGTCAGCCTACCCTGGGCATCCCAGCCATGGCCAATGTCTTGTGTGCTTCCCAGGCCCCTGAGGGAGTAGGGGAAGGAAAGGGGGAGGCGGCTGGGGAAGGGGAAAGAGGGAGGAAGGGGAGGGGCCTCCATCTCTAATTTCATAATAAACAAACACTTTATTTTGTAAAGCTGGAGGCCCGCTTCTGTTTTTGCACTCAGGTTTCTATACAAATCTTCATTGTCCCAAAGGATGGGAGGCGAGGCCCTATTGCCTCTCAGTTCATTCTCCTTTCTCCTTGGGGGGAAAAATCTACTTCCTGTCCTTCTAGATAGGGGAGGACTTCGGTTAAATTCCGTGAGGGAGTAAGGAGATGATAACTCTGCCCCACTAACACTACCAACTTCCTGGGTTCGCTGTTGGTCTCAAACTGTCCAAGGAAATTAAGATACAGGAATTCAGCCGGGAATGGTGGCTCAATCTGTAATCCCAGCAGTTTGGATCACTTGAGGTCAGGAGTTCAAGACCAGCCTGGCCAAGGGCAGAAACCCTGTCTCTACTAAAAATAGAAAAATTAGCCAGGCATGGTGGAGCATGTCTGTAGTTCCAGCTACTCAGCAGGCCAAGGCAGGAGAATCGCTTAAACCTGGGAGGTGATTACAATGAGCTGAGATCACACCACTGCACTCCAGCCTGGATGACAGAGGGAGACGCCATCTCAAAAAAAAAAAGATACGGGGATTGGCCTGAGGGCAAGGTGGGCAGGAGAAGTAGAGGGTGGAGAGTGAGAGCTGCTGAGAAGAGGGCAGGAGGGATAAAAGGCTAAGAGGGGAAGGGGGTTCCAGACTAGGAAAATAATGGGGGTGGCAGGCAGCAGGGGGCAAGCCAGCCTTTCCTGGGGCTCGTAGTGCCAAGTCGGGGAAGAGTGGAGCAGGATGAGACGGTCACACTGAATCTAGGCTTGCCCCTCCCACCTTTAATTCTCTGGCAGGCCCTGGTCTTAGTCTTTGCAGATCGCAAAGGAAGAGGGAGAGGGACCAGGGAGGCAGGCTGTTGAGGGACAGAAGCGGTCAACTGGGTGGGAGCTGAGCTGGAACTGCAAGCATCTCCCAATGTCCAGAGAAGGGGTCCACCCAGGAACCAGCATGAGAACCCAGGTCTCTCAACTCCAGGGCTCCAGAGGCACTCACAAGTAGGCGAGGCAGGATAGATCCTTGTGACTCCCCTTTCTACGTGTGCGGTGCTGGTAGCTGGGGAAAGCTGCTTCAATGTGAACATACCTTCCCTCACACCTTCCCCACCTGCTTGATAAGGACAAGCAGGAAGTGGGAGAACAAGGACCCTCGTGCCAGTGCTGGAATTCAGGTCATTTACTCTACTGAAGGCTAGAACCCTGGACCTCTGACAGCCCAAGGGCTGTGCAAGAGCAGCCTGTCCCCAAGAGCTCTCCAGAGGTTCAGGATAGGGCTGGGAAGATGAGGAAGTAGAGAACAGGTGAGGTGAGCCTGTCCCCCACCTCCTCTTTACTCTGGACCACTCCCCAAAAGAAGTGACAAGACCTGGCAGTTGTCCCGCTCGGAGGCTGATCTCCTTCAGGTGCTGCTCTTTCTCTTTCAGTCTCTTGCCTCTGCACACAGGAACTGCACATGCTTCAGCTGCCACACTCGCCTGCACACACCCATCCTGTATCACTCACCTATACCTGGACACAGAACCACGAATACATACCCTCTTATGTCCAAACACTTGAACCCCGTGTGAAAGCTGCCCCTCCTCACACCCTTCCTCCAGGACTAGGCTGCTGGGACCTCTGCCTCCCGGTTAGCAGTTCCCAAATCCCACATCTCCTTTCCTGAGGCTGGGGAGTGAGCAAGGGGTAAAGAAGGGGGACCGCAGAGGCCACTGGCCAGATTCCTTGAGCCTGGCTTAAAGGCCAGTCCCCCCATACTGGGCACCTTTCTGTGGTATCCACCACAATTTCTCTCCACTGTGTCCTCTCTGGAGTTTTCCCTTCTGGAGCTCCCTGACCTTTCCTCCTCCATCCCCAATCACCCACTCTGCGCCAGAGTCTGGAGGTCTGTCAAGCCAGCTCCTGCCTGGAGGAGTGCTTAGTCTGGGGTACAAGATTAAGGCTCAGGCCTAGGCTGGAGCCTGGGATGAGGGGTGTCCAGGAGGGAAGGCAGGGGGGCTGTTATTCTTGGGACTGGGAACTTTAGCATTGGATGCGAGGAAAGCAACTTCAGCACCCTTCCTTCAGGCCCCATCTTGTAGGTTAACAGTGCTTTCTGTCTCATTTGGCCAGGGGAGAACGGGGCAATGGCTCTCCTGGAGCTGTGAGTCTGTATCTTCAAGTCTGGGCTTCCGGGGGAGTGGGAGCAGGGACAGGAGGAGCAGGAGAGGATGTGCTAGCCAGACAGTTCCCACTGGCACAGCCACCTCCCTCTTGTCTTCATTCTCCAGAGGGAGCCTCAGGAAGGAGAGGCTGAAGAGACGGCAAAGGGAAGAAAGGAGGAGGGGAAGTCTGGCAGCAGCACCACCAGGCCCAGAAGGCTGGAGAGCAAGGGTGGGCTGTGGCGGATGGCTTCTGGCCTGGAAGATAAAGCCACATGAGCCTGTGCATCATGGAGGGGGGCAGCTGCTGTGAGCTCACACCTCCAGGCCCTCAGGGTTCATTCAGCCCTGGCCACCAGGCAGGGGCTTGGCCCAGCTACTTTCTCCCTTGAATCCCTCCCCAGGAGCCTTCAGAGAAGAGACCTAAGGCAGGGCGGAGACCTGGAAGGGAGAGTTGTGCTGAAAAAGCATGGGCCCTGGAGGGAAGGCCTGGATCTAAGCCTCATCTCCACCGCTTACTGTGTGACCCCGGGCAAGTCACATAACCCTTTGAACCGGATTCTTACTCTGTAAAGTGAGACTCATTTTTACCTCAAAGGGTTGTCATGAGACCTGCATTCAGTAAAGGAATAATCATTCTCGTCATTATGGTCAAGGCAGAGGACAGCAGATAAGACAAGCTCATCACCACCCAAAGGGGGTCTATCACTGCACCTCATTGGGAGAGGGACTGCTCCCCTCCTGGGTGCCCCATCTCACCATGCTGACAAAGTGACCAGGAGAAAGAGACAAAGACGCTGAAGCTGAGACACACAGAGGACCGAAACTAAGACAAACTGGGGATGAGATGATGGAAAAAAGCAGAGAAGACGGCAAGAAAAGAGGGTCTAGCACCTAGCGTGCGTCTGGCGTGCAGTGAATGCTGCAAATGTTCGCTGAAAGACGGACTTGGTGCCAAGAAGGAGGCTGGACCAATCCATTGGGAGTCAATAGGAACTTGTTGGGCAGAGCCATAATAGCTCTGGGAGGCATGAAAGGATGGAGACTTGGAATAAATGAAGCCAGCAACCCATACAGGTTGGAGTCAGATGCTGTGAGGCTGCTGCCAGCAGGACCCTCCCCTAGCTGCCCATCCTCCCACCTGTTCCCAGGGCCTAGACCACCCCCAACCAAGTCCTGCTTCTCACAGTGTCTCAGTCCCTGCTGGCATCCTGGAGTCTCCTGGCATCATCTTCCCTGGCCTCATAGAGAGCTCTCTATCTTCTGCAGCTCTGTGGGCAGTGGCAGGCTCAGGATGGGCGTGGCTGGCCTCCTCCTCTGGCTCTGGCTCCAGGAGCTTCTGCAGCTCCACGTACAGCACACAGGCATCACTGCGTGACACATGCTCCCATCCACTCTCCCGAACATGGAAAAGGTCTACAGAGCCCCCTGAATAGGCATCGCGGTGGGTGGCGTGGGCCACCGCGCAGCGAGCCAGGGCATAGGCTTCCTGGTTGGTCATGTCGTAGTGATAGCCGCGGTCTAGCACGCCGTAGGCATAGGGAGATCCAGAGCCCACAGAGAAGATGTCCCCCTGCAGGCGGGTGCCGTCGCTATAGACGTAGAAGAGAGTAGGGCCAGAGCGGTCCCAGCCACACAGGGCAGTGGCCACACAGAGATCCAGTCCCCGGTAGCGAGACATCATGGCTGACAAGAGCTTGGCAGCACTGGCCACACTGGGCAGCTGACCCTCCCTCAGTTCCCGAAGCCGCAGCTCCCGCTGTAGCACCCGATACCAGGTGGCACAGTCAGCGGAGGTGCCAGAGGTGGTACCCAGGAGGTGCTGGTGCACAGGGATGACCTTGCATGAGGCCAGACACGCCACGTAGCTGCCACAGGAGGAACGTGTGTCGGCTGCAGCGATGACTCCATGACGGAAGCGGAAGGCCAGGGTGGTGGTGCCATGGGCCAGTCTGGGGCCATGGATCTGCAGGAAGGTTTGAGGGTCACAGCCTCGGGGCACAAGCCAGCCGCCGGCCTGAGGCAGGTAAGGTGATGGTCCCTGGGTGTCAGGGGCCTGCCACTTGCACACATCCTGCAGAGCCATCCCTGGGGCTGAATGAAGTTTGGAAGAAGCAGAGCAGGGATTTGTGGCTGGGGTCTGGTTAGGGAGGAGGGACGCTACAGAGAAGCTGGGCCACAGCCAGAACCGCCAGAAAGGCATGTGAGCTGACGCTTCATTTCTCCTCAACCCCCAATTCAGGCTTTGGGATTGGCTGATGGAGCAGCCCCCTTCATCTCAGAGGACAGCTGAAAGGAGACCGGATGAGGCCTGTGGAGTCTCCAGCACTAGGAAGACGCTGCCCTCGCAGTCAGACCTTCACCTTCTGCTGCCTGTGACACATCTGAGAGTCACCCAAAGAGTCGCCCGTCTGTCATCCTCCAACTATCTGGAGTTGGGTGGGGGGCTGGGGTAACGCAAAGAAAAGTGGGCACAAGTGGAAGAAGCAGGGCTAGGCTCCTCGTTCCTTCTGTGCGGGGCACTGGGTGTGCAGAGACAGATAAGGCCCTGTGTCTGGCCTGAGAGGGCTCCCAGCCTAGGAGGAGGTAAAGACAGTTCAGTGCACTGATGTGGTCAGAACAGAGTGCTATAACCCCACTGAGGCAGGAGACCTTGGTGCTGAGGACTTCCTTCAGAGATATGGGAGCAAAGAACTCAGCTCACACTTCGAACTCAAGGGAAAGACAGGGAAAGAAAAATTGACTGAGGCTGGGTGTGGTTGCTCATGCCTGCAATCTCAGCACCTTGGGAGACCAAGGCAGGTGGATGGCTTGAGCCCAGGAGTTCAAGACCAGCCTGGGCAACATATCAAGACCCATCTCTATAAAATATATAAAAATTAGCCAGGGCCAAGTACAGTGGCTCATGCCTGTAATCCCAGCACTTTGGGAGGCCAAGGCAGCTGAATCCCATGAGGTCAGGAGTTTGAGACCAGCTTGGCCAACATGGTGAAACCTGTCTCTATGAAAAATACAAAACTAGCCAGGCATGGTGATGACTGCCTGTAATCCCAGCTACTCGGGAGGCTGAGGCAGGAGAATCACTTGAACCTAAGAGGTGGAGGGTGCAGTGAGCCCAGACTGTGCCACTGCACTCCAGCCTGAGCGACAGAGCAAGACTCCATCTCAAAATAATAATAATAATAAATAATAAAGATAAACCGAAGCAAAGACAAGAGGAAAAAGAGCAAGAGAACTCTGTAACGGAGCGGGGCAGTGGGGGAGAGGAAAAGGAGGCTGAAATACCTTCCACAAAGGCAGATTCCAGAATGCTAAGATTCCTGAGGAATGAGGGAAACTAGAACCTGAAGTTCTCTTTCTTCCCTGCCTTGAAGATAAATATGTCCTTCTATCTGTATACAAAGAGGGCATTCCTGACAGTTATCTGACAGTACCTCTTCTTTGACTTGCGTTGAAGTCCAAAGGCTCTAGTGGCTATTTCCTGCTCCCCTTTCTGCCTAATATTTCACAATGGCAAGAGAGTGGCTAGTAATTCCAGGTAGGAGAAACAACTGATCTTAACTCCGTAATGTGGAGTCCATAAGTCTTAGACCAACCGGGGTGTTCTAGGGGTGGGGTTGGTGGACCCTGACAGCTAACCCTTCAGAAAGTCAAAGTCAAGGCCAGGCATGTTGACTCATGCCTGTAATCTCAGCACTTTAAGAGGCCAAGGCGGGTGAATTGCTTGAGCCCGGGAGTTAGAGACCAGCCTGGGCAACGTGGCAAAACCTCGCCTCTACAAAAAATTAGGATGTGGTGGTGTGTGCCTGTAGTCCCAGCTACTTGGGAGGCTGAGGTGGGAGGATCACTGGAGCCCAGGAGAGTGAGGCTGCAGTGAGCTGAAATTGTACCACTGCACTCCATCCACTCTAGCCAGGGCAACAAAGTAAGACCCTCTCTCAAAAAAAAAAAAAAATGCCAGTCAACTGAGGCAGAGTGACAAGCTGCAACTACTTCTAGCACCATGTGCCGTACATATATTCTACTAAACATTGCAGCTCAAGGTGGTGCTGTGGGAATGGATTTATTTGAAGAAACAGACCCATACGCAAAGAAGAGTCTGGACCCTCTGGACATCATGATGGTGCGGCTGTGGCATCATAGCTTTCTGGGGTTTCAGTACTAAGAAAAAGTGCAAACATGGTCATGGGAAAGTTGGAGAAACCCAAAGGGCATGCTAAGGTCCAACCAGTCCTTTTCCTCTCGTTGGTGTAGGACCACCTGGGAATCTTGCTGAAAGGTAAGAATATATCTTTTTTCTTTCTTTATTCCTTCCTTTTTTTTTTGACAGAGTTTTGTTTTGCTCTTGTCACCCAGGCTGGAGTGCAATGGTGCAATCTTGGCTCACCACTACCTCCGCCTCCCAGGCTCAAGTGATTCTCCTACCTCAACCTCCTGCGTAGCTGGGATTATAGATGCTGGCCACACGCCCAGCTAATTTTTGTATTTTTAGTAGAGATGGGGTTTTACCATGTTGGTCAGGCTGGTCTCGAACTCTTTTTTTTTTTTTGGAGACGGAGTTTTCACTCTGTTACCCAGGCTGGAGTGCAATGGCGCGATCTCGGCTCACCACAACCTCCGCCTCCTGGGTTCAGGAGATTCTCCTGCCTCAGCCTCCTGAGTAGCTGGGATTACAGGCACACGCTACTGTGCCCAGCTAATTTTTTTTGCATTTTTAGTAGAGACGGGGTTTCACCATGTTGACCAGGATGGTCTCGATCTGTTGACCTCGTGATCCACCCGCCTCGGCCTCCCAGGTCTCGAACTCTTGACCTCAGGTGATCCACCCACGTCGGCCTCCCAAATTGCTGGGAGCCACCACACCCAGCCCCAATTACCTTTTCTATCCCAAGCTGGCATGTAAGACCCACCATGCTCCGATCTAAATCCGTCGATCACATGCTCTTTTCTCCCTCTATTCCTAATACATCTCCCACCTTCCTTTCACCTATTTGAATCCTATTCCACAGTCTGGCCTAAGTAACAGGTATTGTGAAATTCCTTCCCAGGTATGGGCCTAGAAAGGAGAGGCTGTGAGGGAACCAAGTGAGATTTAAAAAAATGAATCCAGACCTTGACAAAGCAGTCTTGGATGATTAGCCTCTTTCCAATCTATACTGACTCCCTCACCCACCTCTGAACCACAGCACTTATCATTTGTACTTCTCCTTCATGAGGTCCCCAGGAATAGGGACCTTGGAGCAGAGAACTCATGTGAGGTAGGCTGGGAATGGATTATGGAAGGCCTTGAATGCTAAGAAGAACCTGAACTTCACAGAACATTTTTTAGTAAGTGAGCGTTAAGATCAAGATGGTGTTTTAGGCTGGGCACGATGGCTCACACCTGTAATCCTAACACTTTGGGAGGCCACGACAGGTGGATCACTTGAGGTCAGGAGTTCAAGACCAGCTCAGCCAACATGGTGAAATCCCATTTCTACTAAGAATACCAAAAAAAAAAAAAAAAAAAAAAATTAGCTGGGCATGGTGGCTAGCGCCTGTAATCCCAGCTACTCAGGAGGCTGAGACAGGAGAATCACTTGAACCTGGGAGACAGAGGTTGCAGTGAGCCAAGATTGCGCCACTGCACTCCAGCCTGGGCGACAAGAGTAAATGGATTAAAAAAAAAAAAAAAAAGATGATGTTTTAGGAAAAACAATCTGATGCTGTGCAGAATGAATTAGAGAGTGACAATTTAGACCCATAAATCAGTTAGGAGAATATTTCAGCAGTTCTGAAATGAGGACATAAGAAGCCAAAGGTGGTATCCGTTGTAATGAAAAAGAATGTGAGAAACAGTGCAGTGGAAATAATGAACAGGACCAGGCAACTAACTGGATGTGAAGGAAAGAAAAGAGTTGTCAAAGATGAGCAAGGGCTTCAAGCCTTTGTGACTAAAAGATCATTGCTGTCTTTCTTTTACGTGTTCATTTGGCAAATATTAAGCATACAGTGGGCACAGAAATGAATAGTAAATATTTGTATTTAAGAGCTCACAATCCAGTAGGAGATAAATGTAATTTCTAACCAGGTAAAATGTAAAAGGGCCTTAAGAGAGGTACAAATGCTATTGCTGGCAGAGTGAAAACCCACTAGAAGAAGTCAGAAGGACTAGTTGCACTGCAAGGATGACTGCAAAATAATATATGCTCAGTAAACAGAGGCACTCTCCATTTTCCACACCATCCAAGTGTGAAACACAAAGATCTCCTGCTTAACTCCATTCTGATGACTGGGCTTGGAAAGGGTTGTTAATTTCAGCATTAAAAATACAGCATACGGCTGGGCGCAGTGGCTCATGCCTGCAATCCCAGCACTTTGGGAGGCCAAGGTGAGTGGATTACCTGGGTCAGGAGTTCAAGACCAGCCTAGACAATGTAGTGAAAACTTGTCTCTACTAAAAATACAAAAAAAAAAAAAAAATTAGCTGGGCATGGTGATGGGTGCCTGTAATCCCAACTACTGGGGAGGCTGAGGCAGGAGAATCATTTGAACCTGGGAAGTGGACGTTGCAATGAGCAGAGATTGTTCCACTGCACTCCTCCAGCCTGGGTGACAGAGCAAGATTCCATCTCAAAAACAAAACAAATAACAGCATATGCAGAGTCTGCTGCAGGAAAGAAGGGGCTGAATTGGGCATCCAGCCCAATTCAAGAGGAAAGTGGAATTTCGATGTTGATAGATGTTGTTGCTAGGATCCAACAAGGAAGGCCAGACACTGACTTCATAGAACCATAAGGCAGGAGGCAACATTTCATACATATGCACACTTTCTGGTTTGTTATAGTTCCCAAAAGATTCGAAAAATGAAGGTGGGTGGAGGGAGGCAATGAAATATAGTACATTCCTGAATAAAGAGCATCACCTTGGCAAGTTGAAGTTAGAGAATCTCTTGGTACATATTTATGCAGTCTCAACTGTCCTCCAGGCTCTGAGATGGTAAATTACTAGTGACAATTATTCAGGTCTGAATTGAGAGTTTAGTTTATGGATAAACTGAACCCTTTGCTTTTTCTTCTTTCATCTGCCTTTTAGGCAATTCATTACTTGTTTGAATTTCCACCAGACGGTAGGAGTCAAGAGAATATTGGATATTAAAAACCGGTTACTGGGCCGGGCGCGGTGGCTCACGCCTGTAATCCCAACACTTTGGGAGGCCGAGGCGGGTGGATCACGAGGTCAAGAGATCGAGACCATCCTGGTCAACATGGTGAAACCCCGTCTCTACTAAAAATACAAAAAAATTAGCTGGGCATGGTGGCGCGTGCCTGTAATCCCAGCTACTCAGGAGGCTGAGGCAGAATTGCCTGAACCCAGGAGGCGGAGGTTGCAGTGAGCCGAGATCACGCCATTGCACTCCAGCCTGGGTAACAAGAGCGAAACTCCGTCTCAAAAGAAAAAAAAAAAAAACCGGTTACTGTTAAGGCAACTGACAAGAGGTACAGCACTTTTATTTTGTTGCGCTTTTTACCACAAATTACTGTGGTTTAATATCATGGGGAAATGGTCTCAGAATGGATCATCATTTTACCAATGGACCAATTTTAGAGGGTCCCCTTAAACAAGATGGCAACCCAAGGCGCGTTAACAAGGTGCTGGAAGCAGCAGCGATGTAACCTGTTGCTTGGACACCAGGCTGTAGTGTGAGGACTCACCACTAAGAGTTCAGAACCGATTTTCAACCAGTCACTCCCTTCTCAAAGATGGCCGACCTCACTTCCCTCGCGCAACATGGACGTTTCCAGTCACTTCCTGTGAATTTGAAGTTACTCTGATCCAAAACTACGTGCGAGACCAAAGCCAAGATGGCAGCTACATCCTTTCAGAATTAAAGGTTGGTGAAGCCATCTATTTCCCCCACCGTCTTCAGTGAAAATAGTCTTTCGCATCTGGCTGTTCTTTCTGGAGGCGTGGTTGCCAGCAGTCAAAATGGCTCCTTTCCGGAATAGATTTAATAGGAAGTGAAGCTATGACGGCGAGGCGTTGCCCAAGCCTATCTTTGGTAGGCGTTGTCAGAGTTAGTTCTTTATGCCCACACTAGACATGGCGCTAGCCAGCGTGTTGGAGAGACAGCTACCGGTGAACCAGCCCGGGTTTTTCGGACTCGGGGGTCGTGCAGATCTGTTGGATCTGGGTCCAGGAAGTCCCAGTGATGGGCTGACCCTGGCCATGCCAGGCTGGAGTGTCCCAGAGGAGCCAGGAATCGAAATGCTTCATGGAACAACCACCCTGGCCTTCAAGGTGCGGAGCCAGCCGCCCTGCCAGGCTGAGTACTGAACGTCCGCGACCTGCCTGGCCTCCCAGCCTGACTGGAGTTTGCGGTGGCCTTGGCCACCAACCCAGGCGGAGGCTCGGTCCTCTCTTTCGGACCGCAGTGGTTTTGCTGTTTCATTGCCCCAGGAGGCCCCTGTCCTCGCTCTGGTTGGAGAGGGTGGTGGCGGGGTTGGGGGTAAGTCGGGAAGGAAGCAGAGGCTTCTTGGGTTAATGTCCTAGGCGACCCCAGGTTGCTGCTGTTCAGAAACTTTTAGCTGGGAAGGGGGAAAGACCGCAACAACAATGAACCTTGGCCGAGGGAAGGCTATTGAAACCGTTTACCAAAGTTTTGGAAACTGGGCGGCCCCTCAAGGCAAGGGTATCTGAAACTGGCATGAAGGGGAAGCTTGGTGAGGGTAAGCATTGTACCAAGAACCAGACATTTGGGGCATCTTGCCCAACTCTGCAGTAACTAGATTGAACAAGTCATTCGATCTCATTGAACCAGTTTCCTCATCTATAAAATGATTTTTTTAAAGACAGGGTCCCGCCCTGTTCCCCAGGCTAGCGTGCAGTCGTGCCAGCGTCTCAGCCTCCAGAGCACACATCACCATGACAGGCTAATTTTTTTACTTTTTGTAGAGATGGGTTTCCCTGCGTTGCCCAACTGGTCTCCAGCACCTGGCCTCCCACCTTGGCCTCCAAAATGCTGGGATTACAGGAATGAACCACCGCACGCATCCTGTAAAATGAATTTAATATGGGTCATACCCATGTCAAAGGATTGAAGTGAAGCTCAAGTGACATTAATATGTGGAGAAGTATACTGTGAAGTATAGAAGGACAGAAAGATGTGCTGGGTTTCGATTGATGCAAAAAGAAGTATGTAGGGGTGTTTTTGTGGTCTTATGTGGCCTGTTTTGTGTTTTTCTCTCATCTTAACAGTTCCGCCATGGAGTCATAGTTGCGGCTGACTCCAGGGCTACAGCAGGTGCTTACATTGCCTCCCAGACGGTGAAGAAGGTGATAGAGATCAACCCATACCTGCTGGGCACCATGGCTGGGGGCGCAGCAGATTGCAGCTTCTGGGAACGGCTGTTGGCTCGGCAATGTCGAATCTATGAGCTTCGCAATAAGGAACGCATCTCTGTAGCAGCTGCCTCCAAGCTG